AAAATAATAAATATTTACATGGGACCAATCATTGAGAAAAAAATATATGATATGAAAAGATATATTTTATAAGAAATAAGTATATTGTTCAACAATTCAAACCAGTGTTTAATTAACATATAAACCTAACCTGTTGTTCTGCTGTGGTAATACATTTTTCCCATTCACCTTTCTCAGCATATAAATCTAACGCTCCAATGACATCAACATTGGCCAACTATAGACATAAAAAAAAAAGAAATATTTCAGTTATAAAACAGTAACAATGTACATCAAATTGCCAGGAATGTTATAAAATATTATGTTTTGGTAAGCAGAAACACATTTCTGTCTCTCAACCAATTCAAGAGATCATGTCTCAATCCAAGTTTTCATTCAAGTTTCTTTGAAGGATCATAAATGGGTTGACACTAGTGTTTCGGGTAAGAAGCATTACTTACATCATCTACTCGGCCTTGATTTCTACAATGGTCTTTATATCTATCTTCTACATATCCTTCTAATCTACAAATACAAAATAAGGAATGATTTGAAATATTGTTCCATGTATTCATATCAATTAAATGGCAGTGTTTCCATTATGCATTCCTTGAATTTTTGCCTATGACACACTTCAGAATTTTCATAGAAGAGAAAGTGGTTTCAAACATCGAATCCCTTACCTTGGATCAAGTTCTTTAGCCACCTTCTTAGCTTTATTCCATTCTCCACCCAATATCAACATATCTATAGACTCTTTTATCATATCTAAACCAAGATATAGTTCAGCTGCCTACAAATATACACATTGTATTTACTTATAAAATTGTATAATAAATTATTTTGGGCACGCAATGTACAAAACTAGTTTATGGTAAAAGAAATATACTTACAGAACTATATTTATGAAGTTCAGCAAGTCTAGGACAGGCAACTTCAATAACCATTTGAGCCTTTTCAGTTCCTAAAAATTTCAAAGCTAAATCACCAGCCTACAAAGATAAAAAAGAAAATTTTTAACAAATTTAGAGCTTGTAGGAAACATATTTAACTGAATAATTGTTCACATGTCAATAAGAACTTGTATTTCTGCTCTTAGATTGTTATTATCAAAACATTGCCCAATTACCTTCATCCAACATTTTTCCAGGATATTTTGATCTGATGTTAGTTTATTGGTAACTTTAAGGAAACATTCGACAGCTCTAGCATATTCTCCATTAGCTTCCCATTCTCTTGCTTGGTGTATCATAGACTCTGCTCCTCTATAAAATACAATGACACAGTCAGTTTCATTAAAAATTATTAGGGTAGTTGAATTAGGACACAAAAGTTTTCAATGGATACATATGGAAGATTTTATAGATATGATGATGAGATAAAAATGACTTCTAATGTCATTTTGCTTACTAAATCTAAAACTTCAAGCATATCTTCCTCAGCAACACGATTTCAAGTTAAATTTTTCTATTAAGTATGACACTCAGTCAAATCTTTAAGTCATTTAATCAGAATAGTATTTTACCATTCAAGAAATAATTGCATTCTTTTGTCTCTCTTTTATATTTGAGCACAAACAGATTGTGATGAAGGTAATAGGGTGACAGTGAAAGAAATCTTCCATAATTCAGTGGAAGTAAAAAAAAAAATGGAAATTAACCAAAGACACATCAGAAAGTAGAAATCTAAAGGAAAGTTTTAATCACAGAGTAAAATGTTAAGACGGAGAAAACTCACAATAAGAGAACACATATAGATATATGAATATCTCTGCAAACAAGAGACGGAAAATTGCACTCAGAAGATAAATTTTACATGGAGTAAAGTGAGCATGAGAAAAAAAGAATATAAAATTTACAAAAGATCCCAAATCTACTACTACCACGATTTCATTAATAAATGATAAACAAACGATATTCTACTAATAAAACATACCCTTGTTTAGTTTTAGAGTCACTATTAAATAAAACATCATTTCTCTCATTACAACAATTGTCATAATTCATTTCATTACATAGTAAATATTAGTAAAGCATAGCAAAAATGGTTCTGTGATTCAGATATTGAATCCAGAACGAGGCTCATAACACAAACATACAGAGTGTCACTGCAGTAAAATAGCCTTTTAACTTCTACTTCTCCAATCCCACTAACTCAAAACTATTAAATTTTTAGATATTTAATGATACTCTGAGATTAAGATACATAATTCGTACATTTCTGAGAAAGCCTATTTTCTGGCTGTTGAGTGTTTAGCGTTTAGTGATGTCACATGGGCTACTCCTTCAAATGATGTCGCAATCTTTTCAATAAATGACATAATTTGTGTTATGAACCTCGCTTTCACTGCCTGAATTACATGGCATGAATAAGGACTATAAATAGTTAACTTAAAATTATATTTTCAAAAAACAATATTAAGGAATATTACCTGGTTGATTTATCAGTCATTTCATTGTCATATTCATCTTGTAACTGTTGTAGTTTATTAGGCACATATTCTTTACAGACACGTAATGCATCTTGCCACATACCAGAATCCTGCAATCAATTTTAATATGATGTGAAAATAAAGCCATGATATGAAAGGAATTTTACCGTAAATCATGATTGTAAGAAAGTTCTGCAAAAGGAAGTCCAATCATTGAAATATTTACTAATTCAAGTATTTTATTCAAGATGTGTCATAGCATGTGTTACTAGGACGTTTGATCAACTAATAATGTTCAAATTAATTTCATATTTGTAAATATATTCTAATATACAATAATATCTTACCCTATAGAATTTAACAGCTAATTCAGGTTTCTGAGCTCGTAACAGATACGACTCAGCCTTAGCAAATTCTTTCTCATCAAAAGCAAATCTTGCTTGACCTACTAACACATCTGATACTGATTCAGGGTCAAATGCTTCTGCTACACGCTGAGCTGCATCCCAATCTTGACTGTGGACATACCTACAAATCAAAACATCAAATGCAGTTCTGACAACTTAAAGATGGGTTTTCTTTTTTTTTTAGTGTCAAATTACGCAAACTACTTGAATACTTGATGTTTATAATGAATTTTCATGTATTCTTAATCATATCATTATGTTCTTAATGCATATAATTAAGAGTTTTAACCAATCATAAATGTCCATGTAAGTACAGATTGGTCAGTCATTGGAATTTTGCTGCTATTTCACTTCTAATTTAGCTATTATAAGAATTAATTATGGACGTGTGAGACAAATTTTTTTTTTCCCAAGTCATTAGAACACCTCTACTTTCTGTTCATATAAGTAATAGCATTTTCATTTTCATAAATGAAAATAAGGGAACCCAAGGAATTCAAAGTAATGTATTGATCAGGTTGAAAGTATGATAGCTGCATTCTAAATGACAAATCAGAAAAAATCTAATACCAAAACATAAGATAGGAATCTATCTACTACAATCTATACTTACATAAGAACAGCTTCTTTAGGTTTATTTGCTTTAATAAATTCTGCTTCAGCCTCAGCACATTTTCCTTCATCCTCCAGAAACATGGCATATTTCAGATGTATTTCTGGCATCTTTTCTTTCATGGCCATTCTAGCTAAATCAAACGCAAACTCAAACGCACTGAAAAATAGACAATGTTCCAGTTAGAAATTACTGGTAGAAAATCAAAATACAAAAGGACAAAACAAAGGACAATTAAAGGGTAGTTTAAGCCTGAAATTCAAGTTTAAGTAAGCATTAGTAAAAAATCATTGTAAAAGACACCAGCAAAAATATATGATAAGTTATTACCAGTTTTCTGTGGCATATTCAACAGCTGCCTCTAATAAACCATATTTATTTAATAGTTTGACAGCTGAATCACCACCCAGACTTTTAGCCCACAGATAAGCAACTTGTTTAGCAGCTTGTTGACCACCATGTGCCTTGGCTACCTGTAATTACAAACATGATGTTGAATTAGTTGTAGATATTATTTGTCTTGACTCTCCATTGTAAATTTAAAGTATTTTCAAATGACCATTCAGATTCAGTATTTTGTTACTGTAATACAATCTTATGTCTTTTTATGTTTTCAATGTTTCTGTCACTTAAATATTCTTAAAACTGAACACATGAGAAACAATATTATATCATCAAAATAACTACCATACTATATCTAATAAAGCATCAAAAAACTTACTCTATAAGATTCATCCCACATATCAGCTGCTCTATACATATTAACAGCTGCTTTCCAATCTTCACCTTCAACATAATGTAATTCAGCTTGTCTTAAATTATTCTCTCCTTCCATTTCCTGAAACATTCCAATTCCGCATTAAATCAAGAACATTGACCAGTCTGCTGCTATATACAGAGATAATCTGTTCAAATCAAATAGGTGTTAAATACTCACATCCTGAGAATTGAAGTGTTTCTGATTTTAAAATTACCAAATTGAATGAAATGTAACTTAAGAGTTAACATGGCAAACAAAGGCTTCCTTGAGAATTTATTTTTTGAAAACTAATACAGATCTAGTAATACAGATTTAGTAGTTGAATTTTAGTCTGGTGCTTTAGGTTCAGTTAGAAAACTATTCTGATCAAAAGCTTGTGCTTCCCGAGACGGTCAAGTTTTAGCGGTCCATATTCATAAAAACTATTAATACCTTAGCAAGATGTAGATGAGTATCTTGTAATAAGTCAGGATGATATGTTTTAACTAAACGTATCATATCACCATATAATCTTTGTTTTTTATACATAGTTATAGCTAAATCAGGTTCTTCAACAGCTACATATAATCTGAAATTACCAATAATATTTCTATAAAAGACAGTTCACATGAAAAAGATGGAGTGAAGACTAGTCAGTTAATGATTTTTTGTATTCTTTCTTTTTAGAAATATTCCAATTTCTTGCAAATAATATCTAAATTTTCAAAAATTATACCAATTGATGGCTATTAGTTTTGTTAGAACATTTAATAGTAAGCTAAAACTCTTCTTAAATGTTTTAGAAATCAAAAGTTTTACACTTACTTTTCAGCATCTTTAAACTTGCCCTGTTCTTCAAGTTGTTTAGCTTGTGATATATATAATGTAGATACATCATCACCTTTCATATAGGTGGCTGCCAGCTGTAATAACAGTCATATTATTCTTACAAGATCATTCAATATAATTTATAAGATAAATTCAAATAATCAATTCAAAAATAAGTATTATTATATTATACTTTGGAAATAAAAAGTATTGCAAATCTACAGGATATACCTTTGCAACAATAGTAGATGCTCTTCCAAATACATACAAGATATAATACCAAAGTGGCGATTGAAAATCCTGTTACTAAGTGACCTCACTTCATGTTAACGTCATGCACTTTAAGTTATAATACTAAGAGTTTCCCGTATTTGACAGTCTATTTAAACTCAGTGTTCAAAGGGTTAAAAGGAGTGAAGTAAAAGTACCTTATGAGCTCTTTCCCATTTACCAGCATTATTATACATATCAACAGCATCTCTAGTACACCCTGCTTCAACATAGAACCTTTCAGCTGTCTGTAACAATAACACAATATTCATGAATATGACATTTTAACACCAGTTGATATACATTTAGTATATAACTTGATATGACCTAAACTGATAGAGTTAGTTCAAGAGTATGTCAATGAGAGTTTTAGGAAATCTAATCTTGTCTAAAATCACAAACAGAAATTGATTAATAACAGATCGGTATTTTTCTATGGGTTCTGTGGATTCTATGGCAAATGGAGTCAACAATAGAAAAATCATGGAACCCAACATTTACATCTGCATTTCCATTAAATTACACTTTCCATATAGAGCACCAAAAAAATCCATACTGACACCTTACATACCTCATATTCCCCAACAGAGGCATAATGATCAGCTATCTTCTTATAATATCTAGCAGACATAGCTGAATCTTGTATTTCTAATATCTGTACAGCTTTAGCCCATTGTCGTGATGTTATAGCTGCCTCTACTGCCTTCATATTGGATCTGAAATAGGCATTGATTACAAATTTCAACATCTTGGAAATAATTCAAATAAATATTTCATTATAAGATAACTGCAGAGATTTAATCAGGATCCTGTTTACCATCTGGTCTTTAAAGAAACATTTCAGCATTAAATTATCCATAACAATTAATAATAATGATTAGATGACATATACAAGTTCAATAAACTTCTACAGATCGCCATTAAGCAAAGAATTCTAGATTCTTAACCTAAGAAACTGAGTTACATTGCTAAAGCTAGTCTAGAGTGAGCAGTTAACTTGTCTGTTTTAAGAATAAAGACATACCCAGCTTCAATAAAATGATTGATAGCAGCATCAAGTTGTTTCTGTGAAACCAAATAGTCACCCCATTCTTCTTCTAGTGTTACAACAGTTGTAGGGAAAGCATGACGGGCTAGTTCAACAGCTACAAAATATAATACAATACTCTTATAACATAGAAATAGTTTACAACTGTCTAGAAAGTCTTGTGATAAATATCATTTAAAAAGGTATAACCAAGAGATACCTTACAACTACTTTTCACAAGGGTGTATTTTATTTTAGGTTGATATCCAATATAATTCAGAGGGTTAATATAGTAGTCAACATACCTCTTTTATAAGCTTTACCCTTTTTAAAACATTCCATAGCTTTTTGATAATCTCTTATTTTTTCATATAGATCACCAGCCTGTCATATAAAATAATATACTACTGTTCAATACACTTATCGGGAACAATGAAAAACTTGTGACACATCTAAGATGGATTACCTGATTGACTAAGCTTTGTAAGTATTCTATTTGATATTCATCCATTTTTGCACTAAGAATGCCTACAATTCATCTTAATATCCATCACCATTAGCATCAACTTACCCTCTCATAAAGTTCTGCTTTAATCAAAGCACCTGCTATTCTACTGATTAGGTCAGAATTAGACATCAATTCCTACAAATAAAATAACAGTTGATTCATTACAAATAATCTCAGATAATTTCTTTCTTAGGTAACTTAAGACAATCTAACGCAGAGACCATGTTTCTTTTGCAATATTCAAATATTGAACAGAGAAAGAGAAATATCATTGAATGTTAGAATTTACAAAACCCACCTCTCTAGAAGAAGCCAGTCTAGCAGCTCTAGCAGGTAAACCAGACTTCATGTATAAATTAATAGCAGCCATATAATCCCCTTCTCTTTCTTTCAGCTGAAAATATAATAAAAACAATTTCACTTACAAACTTGTTTTTGACAACCAGAATAAGAAACATTTAGACTAATTTGTACATTTCAAAATCTGAAAACACCAACAATTTACTGCAAGTCTACTTCAAGGATGCAAGTTGTCACCAATGGAATGGAACTGTCAAGAAATCAAACAAATTCTGTTTCAGAAAGTAACTTACTGAAATAATTCAAGATTATTGCAGCTTATAGGACTAAAGATGACAGGAAATGTCATACAGTGTGCAATGATGAGAAACACGAGGGTTTTCTTTTTGTAGTGCATTTTCTTTTATAGACATAAATTAGTGATTAAGCTTTTATCAGTGAGTTTAATTACCTCTCCTGCAGTCTCTTCTTGTCCTGTTTCCATTAACCATTGGTTATAGTTACGTTTTAATGTTTCTAATTCAGGATGACTCTACAAATATCAATGTAAAATATTTTTCAATAAAATGTACATCTTTCTTAATATTTGAATACAATTCCTAAAATCTCAATTCGTTTAATATGGAAGAAACATTTAAGATGGACTTTGTTCTCAGTTCTCAGATTTGGATGGTTAAGACTACAGATGAATGTAGAAATGAAGAAAAGATAAATCTGATATTTCCATAATGTTTCTTTATACAGATATTGAGTATCAGTGGTGAAGTTAAGTATATTACCTTAGCCTCAGCAACTTGTATAGCCTCATCCCACATGTGCATTTCTTGATACATTTCCATAGCTTCATTAATATGATTCTACACAATAAGAAAAACAAAATCAAATTCTAAAATACTTCAACAATACGAAAGTAGATTTGTAGTTTACATTATAAATCAAATATTCACCTGTTCTAGATAGATCCCTTCTGCTTCTTTAAACTTCTTCTCCATTATAGCTAATCTAGCTCTTACTTTATAATGGTTATAGCCATTACCGCCCTGTAATGAATACCATATATTTGTGTGTATAGTGGACAGTAATTTACCTTAATATGGTTTGGCAAATTGTGGGTTTCAGGCAGTGACAAGAAAATTTCAAATGTTTCACAAGAGGTTCCATGGTCAATATCTAGGGTCCCCCATTTTGTAAATGATCGCTGAAGGTGGAAGACCTACCCCACGTGTTGCTTATATTAAGAGTATTTTACAAAGACTTTTAAATAACTTTTGCTAACTAAAAATATTTTGGCAAATCTAATCTTATTTCCAGCTTGTGCATGTATTATATACAGAAATGAGTTGGACAATTGATTTTGTGATATGAGCTATATTTTTTTAAAACAAGCCAGAGACATTCCAGATGTTAGAATTTTATGCTCAAGTGTTCTTGATATTGGAAATTCATCGACTTACAGTATGCTTTGCAGCTTCTTCAGCAATAGTCAAAGTATCTTTTAAAAATCTGGCTTTAGCAATATCACCTAATGCTGAATGACATCTATAAAATATAATAGAAAATAATTATGAAAAGATCACAATGTCCCATCTATGGTTTATGTGCGGAAGTTAAACAGTACTAGTAATTCAGAGTGACATTCAAATAAAGGCAATAAGAAGCAATTTTTTGTGGATAAAAGTTATCCAATTCATGCATTTTACTTATCAAGTTTAAATTATTTTAATGTGTATAAAAGGAAGCAATAATGACCTTTCAGCTATATGTAGTTGTCTTTCTTCTAAAGCAAGTTTACTTAATGTCTTCCACATAGCCTCTGTTTCTGATGACAATTCTAATGATTCCAGGAAAGCTACAGCTCTATTAATATAAAAAAAAAAGGAATATATCAAATATCATCTCTGTCCTATGCTCATAATAAAAAAATTGTGAAAAAAATTCCAATCAACTGATCTAATGATTAATTTTATATCTGAACTGTGTCTACTATATAAAATGATCTTCTGCTAAATCACGATGCCTTAAATGTCCACACCTGATAAAAAGATAAATGATGGTTATATTCTGATTTTTCTAACATCCATGTAAAAAAAAAAAGAAGGAATATTTGGCCCCTCTAAAACATGACTAACTTCCTACCTTGAATAGTCCCCATCATCAATAGCAGTACCAAATTCTATTAAACCTTCATCTAATGTATAGGTTATAGTCTGTACACCTTCCTTTACTACTACTTCTGTTTTACCATCAGTTCTCTCTAGATCTACTATATCACCCTATAATAAATATATCATATCTTTATCTTGTCCCACATTCAGTTATAATCATGTATAGCACTTTATTCTAATTCCATTATCTATATACCTATACCACAAAGTGTTTGACCAGTATCTAACCCATTAAGGTCATACAAAATTAATAGTCTGTTTTACAGGCCTTTTTTTTACAAATCGAGGCGAGGGGGTGAATTTATTATCTATTATTTATAAGCGCTTTTTTAGATTTTCAACTGGAATAAATCAGAGCCAGCCAAAGTATTTAGTATTTATTACAACAAATTTAATGTACATTTAATATTTAGGCAACAATCAGGCATTTTTGGGCCTGTAAAACAGACTATTTATTTTGTATGGCCTAATAGAAAATAGTATAATACATACCTTTAGTGGGAACATGGTAACCCTTTCTGGAGCATCAATATTATACCACACACATAAATTACCTCTATTCTGAGCTACTACTACATCACTACCTGGTACCCACTGTAAAATAGAGAAGAATTACTGACTTATCCTTTATATTTTGTTATTGGACAGCTTAAACTTTCAAAGAATTTTAATGGAAACACTAAACAGAATTATTAATATTTCTCATATGAAAAGAACATATTTTAGTTAAGTAGTTTATTTTAGATAGAATACATCTAAAGTTAAATCTAAACATTACCTGAACATAAGAGCAATAATTCAATATACTGGATTTCTGTTCTGTTTCAATGTCATAAAGATGCAACTAGAACATAAAATATCAACATATTAATGAGAATATAACAAACAAACAGTGAAAATATTTTAACATTATAAATTGTTAACATTTGAAAATCAAAATATTAATATTGTTTAAACAAAATCTGGACTTTGTTGTCATATCTCTATCTCTGTGATAAATGCATTAAGAATTATTGCAACAGTGAAAATATTGTTATAATTATAAAATATAAATACAAAGCCTACCTTGAGTTTCTTATCCCTATATAACAATGTTTTACAGGTTTCATTCAGCTGAAAATAAATATCAATTCTAAAATAAAAACTTGCTGATATCTTGGTTAAATATAACATAAACAACCTCTGAAGAAGTAAATGAAGCAGAAAATAATCTGTTTCGTGAGATAGTGTCCCACTTGTGTTTCTTATCAAAATGTTGCTCATTTCATTTCTTAATTAGAAAATATAGAAAAATAGAAAATGTCTAAACTAACCTCTAACCAATCTATTTTAGAATCATGACTGATCTGACCAATATTTAAACCAGATGATAAATCCACTGAAAATAGTTTTTAAAAAGATTAACTCATTTGTAAATAAAGATCTTTCAAACACACCAGATACAAATAGTAGTTTTCAAATCTATCAAATTTGTCAAACATACTGATTGCAGTGGTTTTTAAATCTATAGAATAGTTTAAATTTCAGATATCAATAGTCTGAATATATCAATAATATAAAACTTACTGATAGTAATAGTTTGAATATATCAATAATATAAAACTTACTGATAGTAATAGTTTGAATATATCAATAATATAAAACTTACAGATATCAATAGTTCAAATATTTCAATAATATAAAACTTACTGATAGCAATAGTTTAAATATATCAATAATATAAACCTTACTGATAGTAATAGTTTAAATATATCAATAATATAAAACTTACTGATAGTAATAGTTTAAATATATCAATAATATAAACCTTACTGATAGTAATAGTTTAAATACATCAATAATATAAAACTTACTGATAGTAATATTTTAAATATATCAATAATATAAAACTTACTGATAGTAATAGTTTGAATATATCAATAATATAAAACTTACTGATATCAATAGCTTAAATATATCAATAATATAAAACTTACTGATAGTAATAGTTTGAATATATCAATAATATAAAACTTACTGATAGTAATAGTTTAAATATATCAATAATATAAAACTTACTGATATCAATAGTTTAAATATTTCAATAATATAAAACTTACTGATAGCAATAGTTTAAATATATCAATAATATAAACCTTACTGATAGTAATAGTTTAAATACATCAATAATATAAAACTTACTGATAGTAATAGTTTAAATATATCAATAATATAAAACTTACTGATGTCAATAGTTTAAATATATCAATAATATAAAACTTACTGATGTCAGTAGTTTAAATATATCAATAATATAAAACTTACTGATAGCAATAGTTAAAATAAATCAATAATATAAAACTTACTGATATCAATAGTTAAAATAAATCAATAATATAAAACTTACTGATATCAATAGTTTAAATATATCAATAATATAAAACTTACTGATAGTAATAGTTTGAATATATCAATAATATAAAACTTACTGATAGTAATAGTTTGAATATATCAATAATATAAAACTTACTGATAGTAATAGTTTAAATATATCAATAATATAAAACTTACTGATATCAATAGTTTAAATATTTCAATAATATAAAACTTACTGATAGCAATAGTTTAAATATATCAATAATATAAACCTTACTGATAGTAATAGTTTAAATACATCAATAATATAAAACTTACTGATAGTAATAGTTTAAATATATCAATAATATAAAACTTACTGATGTCAATAGTTTAAATATATCAATAATATAAAACTTACTGATAGTAATATTTTAAATATATCAAAAATATAAAACTTACTGATAGCAATAGTTAAAATAAATCAATAATATAAAACTTACTGATATCAATAGTTAAAATAAATCAATAATATAAAACTTACTGATATCAATAGTTTAAATATATCAATAATATAAAACTTACTGATAGTAATATTTTAAATATATCAATAATATAAAACTTACTGATAGTAATATTTTAAATATATCAATAATATAAAACTTACTGATAGTAATATTTTAAATATATCAATAATATAAAACTTACTGATATCAATAGTTTAAATATTTCAATAATATAAAACTTACTGATAGTAATATTTTAAATATATCAATAATATAAAACTTACTGATAGTAATATTTTAAATATATCAATAATATAAAACTTACTGATAGTAATATTTTAAATATATCAATAATATAAAACTTACTGATAGCAATAGTTTTTAAATCTATTAAATAGGCCATTTTTCTATTGTCACCACCATGTTTCTGTTTTCTTTCATTTAACCTCACACTGAAAATAATTATAATATACAATGGCCGAGGATATTCGCCACCCGGGTGGCAAACAATTATTCGCCACCCTCATTTTTTATTTGCCACCCGTTTTTAAAACTTTAATGTCTCTAGAGACTGACATTATTAGCTGTGAAGGCTATAGCGTTACATGCATTATAATGTTTTTTTATGTTCATTAGAAACGCTTTTTTGCAATTCCTTTCAGAAAAATGTACGAAAATAACATCTACTTATAATTGATAATCGCTGTCCCATTGGATGGCTATTTATAGTCAACCGGTGTAAAGTCAATTTGGCCACCACTTTTTTGAATCACTTCTAAGAAATTTAGTCTCGATATTCATGTCACCTACAAACCTCACATGGCTCTACATTTGTTTTTTTTTATGCCCGGAAGCGTTTTTTCTTGACATTTCCCGGCAAATTTAAGGATTTTTTATATAGTGTGTGGGAGATCCCACCCTTTGAAGATTTTTAGAATCGGATTCCCAAAAACGCGAATTTCTGACATTCCCTATTAGTTTAGGAAAGCTAGAACAAAAGCTGAGGGTGGTAAAAAAGACCTTAGGGTGGTTAACAAGAATTGTCGATGGTACACAAGAATTGTGAGTGGTAAACAAATATTGGGGTGGTAAACAAGATGTGAGGGTGGTGAACAAGAGCTGGAAGTGGTAAACAAGAACGGAGGGTGGTGAACAGGAACGGAGGGTGGTTAACTAGACCTACGATTGGAAACAAAGACCGAGGGTGGTAAACAAGAGCTGAAGGCAGTAAACAAGATTTTTGGATAGTAAACGGGAGCTGGGTTAATCAATAACATCTAGGGTGGTAAACAAGAGCTGAGGGTTGTGAACAAGAGCTTAAGGTGGTTAACAAAAGTTGAGGTTGGCAAACAAGAATTGCGAGTGGTAAACAAGTATTGGTGGTGGTAAACGAGAGCTGAGGGTGGTCAACAAGAGCTGGAAGTGGTAAACAAGATCTGCAGGTGGTAAACAGGAACGAGGGTGGTGAACAAGAGCTGAGGGTGGTAAACCAATGTAGGTTGGTAAACAAGAATTGTGGCTGTTAAACTAGACCTATGGGTGGTAAACAACAGCTAGGGTGGTAAAAATAACCCAGGGTGGTGAACAATAGCTGAGGATGGTGAACAACAACTAAGTAGGTGAACAAGAGCTTAGGGTGGCAAACAAGAATTATGGGTGTTACACAAGTATTGTGGGTGGCAAACAAGACCTGGGAGTGGTGAACAACAGCTATGTTAATGAAACAAGAGCTGAGTGTGGTCAACAAGCATTGTGAGTGGTAAACAAGTATTAAGGGTGGTAAACAACAGCTAAGTTAATGAAACAAGAGCTGAGAGTGGTAAACAATTATTCAGGGTGGTACAACAGCTAGGTTAACGAAAATCAACTAGGTTGGTAACAAAGAGTTGGGGTGGTAAACAAGAACTGTGGGTGATATACAAGAACTGATGGTGTTGAACGATAGCTAGGGTGGTAAACAAGAGCTGAGGGTGTTAGGGTGGTAAACATCAACTAGGTATGTGAACAAGAGCTGTGGGTGGTGAACAGCAACTAGGGTGGTGAACAAGAGTTGAGGGTGGTGAACAACAGCTAGGATGGTGAACAAGAGTTGAGGGTGGTAAACAACAACTAGGTAGGTGAGCAAGAGCTTAAGGTGGTTAACAAGAGTTGAGGGTGGCAAATTGTAGGTGTTACACAAGTATTGTAGTGGCAAACAAGACCTGGGTGTGTTGAAGAAGAGCATTGTTATTGAACAACATCTAGGGTGGTAACTAAGAGTTAAACAAAAGCAGAGGGTGGTAAACAAGTATTGTGAGTGGTAAACAAGTATTGAGGGTGGACAACAACAGCTGGGGTGGGAAACAACAGTTAGGTTAATGAAAAACAACTAGGTTGGTAACAAAGAGTTGTGGGTGGTAAACAAGAACTAAAGGTGGTATACAAGAACTGATGGCGGTGAACAACAGCTAGGGTGGTGAACAAGAGCTGATGGTGGTAACCAAGAACACAGGGTTATTATCACCGTACACATTACATACCACCCGTCAGTATTGTGTATTATCGTACGCCTTATTACCATCCTTACACATTACTGACCACCCGTCAGTATGGTTTATTATCGTACGCCTTATTACCATCCGTCAGTATTGTGTATTATCGTACGCCTTATTATCACCCGTACACATTACTTACTACCCGTCAGTATTGTGTATTACTGTACGCCTTATTACCCCCCTTAAACATTACTTACCACCCGTCAGTATTGTGTATTACCGTACGCCTTATTACCACCCGTACTCATTACTTACCACCCACAGTATCGTACGCCTTATTATACCTTAAACCTGATTACTTCGAATACATATTTCCACCCACCCCAATGCAGTGTATTTACCACCCACATACATTACTTCCACATTCGCGATGGCTCCAACCATCTTTGGATTTTTCGATTCGATTTCTCCTCGTCGGTGTTTGGGATCGGAAGGGCTTACTTGGAAAATGCGTCCAGGATAAATGTGACTCAATTTGGACACGCGCCTGCTATGTCTTATTTTTTACTATTTACACCTCTTCATCAACCTTTTTTTTACTTACGTAAAGATCCCTCGACAATTGGAATGTCGCTGTCCTGACAAAATTTGCCTCATTGCACACTGCATGGCGTTTGCCCATCCTCAGTAGCCCATACAGGTGCAGAAAAGTAGAGTGTAAAACTTTATTTTATTTCATTTTTTTTCTACGGTTATACAAACATATGATGCTAAATTTCATAGCAACACTAACAGGACCTTTTGGGATGTATGCTAATTTGGTGTAAACAAAATGGCGGAATTTCTACTTTCGTTTCATTGCAAGAAATTCAATTTATATTAACACGGTCTTGTCTGAACCTGACAAAATCCATTACAAATTACTCGACTGAAAGAAACAATTATGTCAAAAAGGCTGATATTTCATGAATTTTTAGAGATTTTTCTGCCACCTGGATGGCGAATAGTCAAATTAATGGACGTGGACTATTCGCCACCCGGGTGGCGAATATCCACGGCCATATACAATACTGGTAACTAAAAACAAAATTATCATAGATATACAGGATATAATATATAGATATAAGTTTAACCTTACTACTAATGTATGATAAGTTCTTAGACTAAAAATAAGTCAAAATTAATTGTAAGAAATTTTATTCATCATCCTATTGAACTACTGATGGTAACACAAGGGAATAGTACACTTACATAGTTAAACTATACTATTATTACCTTATAAGATGTGGATTCATAAATTCTGTTCTAACACAGCCCAGTATTTCATTTTCACCATATTGTACTAGAGCTAGTTCTCCATTGTTAAATATCATACATACCTAGGGTAAAAAGTAACAGAAAATAAGCACAATTTTTTTTAAAATCTTACAATACATGAGCAATTTGCCCAAAATGTTACAAGAATGTAGTGGTACTAATAAATTTATATACCTATCCAAATCGCAGATCAAAGTCTATATACTAACAAAATCAATGAGATGACCATGAAAAAAGACCAAAGAGGTTGTCTTGGATCTTTTGAGATAAAAAGGAATGACAAATGAATAGCCAAATGTATGCAGAAAGAATAAGCATCAGTTCTTTACTCTGCTCTCATTTTATTACCAAACTTTCATACAATGGTATCTAAGAATTCACTTAACAATGTAATCATATACTTACACTTTCATTATCAAAATAGAATTTTTCATTACCACCACTAGACTGCCATGGTATTTCACTGAGTTTGCCAGATTGTTGGTCTCCTAACAACAGTGTATCAGACGTATGGGCCACAAGATATCTATCTTTACCTAATATTCTTACTTCATCTATTTCATATCCATAGTGGGACTTTAAAACAACTTTAGCATTACTCTTCAAGTTCTTAACTATAACCTAAAATATTCATTTAAAGATTATAGTTACTTATTCATAGGCACATGCATTCTGCCATTTCAGTGATCTGACTAAGCTATATATTTTTGATAGACATCCCTAACAAGAAATATCCAATACCTAAAATTGATATTTTATATATTATATTATATTTCTAATAAAAGACTTTGATATCATAAACATACCTGACTGAGTCCAACATGAGTTATTTCAAATCTGTTTTTATAGATAGTTTTCTTCAAACAACAATCAAATAATTCTACACCACCACATAATGTTCCCTGCAAATTATAATGAATGTATCATTAATGTCAACGAATCATAGTATCATACTGGTCACCAATTATAGGTTTATTTCTCTACGATATCAATGGCACTTTCCCGCAACAAACCATAGAACATAATTTACATAACTATTTACAATATGAAAAGGGACATAACCCATAAAGAAGCAGGTTTAATCAAAAACCTTTCTGAATTAATTTAAAGTATTTATAGGATATAAATAGTCATTGTCTTTTTCAGATGGTCATATTTCTAAATATTACAAGATCTAACATCCAATTTTTTGGAAAAAAGAAATATTTCAATTATTTTGACATTTTAATGATATCAACTTACAGCAGCAATTCTTGATCCATCTTTCTTCCAGGCCAATGCAGATATGGTATACATATAAGGAATCTCTTTGATCTGAGGTTCATCCCACATTTGTCTTCTTGGACTCCAATTCAATGCTTGGATTCTAAAACACAGACAGATATATATGAATGAAACCTTACTTACCAAATTAAAAGCTAATATCACGCTATAAGTCTGTAGTATAAGGATAATATAGTCTCTTCCAATTTACTCAAAATATTAAAAATACTTTGAATCCTTAGTATTTGAAGGAAAACATGCTGATCTATATTAGGACTAAAAGTTTATCGGTATATCATCAACACAGTATTGTGATTTTTTTTCTTTTCCAACTCAACAACGTCAGAATGTTGTTACATAAGCCTGTTATCTAAGCTAAATACCTGTCATAGCTTCCAAATACAACAGATTGTCCACTTGGACTACAAGCAGCAACAGTAAACTCATGTTCTTCATCATCTCGACTGTAGTCAAAATGTTGAAAACTACGACCATCTCGACCATACGCTATTATTCTCTTATCACAGCCTCCTGCTACTATTGCATTCTGGGAGAATGCTAAAGCATACGGTGGACAGGGGTGAGTGCACAACTTGCCCTACAATACAAATAAAAGACAAACAATGAAATAAGAAAGACACCAGTTTTTTGGTCCAAACAATTTTCATATGATTGCCAACTGTATATATTTACAGCCCCAAACGTTTGGCCCAGGCTCTTTTTAGTCATCTTTTCTACTATTAGTCAGAAGAAGCTATCTGAAGTTTGAAATAAAATGCTGCAAACAAACATAGGACTCAATTTTAGTAAGCATTCACAATAGATTTGGGAAGATAGAAACTTACCTGACTGTCACCTGTACCTTCATCATCAAAGAAAAATCTAATAATAGAACCATCAGCATGACCTGATAAAAATCCTTTACCAGAGGGACTGGAATACAATAAAGTAAACATATAGAAAATAACAGCACAGAATAATAAATATAACTAGAGAAAGTTTTTATTCTTGCTTACATTGTGAAACACTGACCAATCATTTGTCAGTAAGTAGTGTTTGTTTCAAAAAAAAATTCAGAAGTCACATTCAAAGAGATTTCCACTGACGAATATTTCAAAAATGATAAAGAATTTGTGTTGCTGAAATACTAATATCACTTATAGTTCAAGAACTTACTTTGCAGCTAATGAAACAACATATGATTCAGTACCATATAGAGAAGAAGATTTATTAGTTCTTGTATTAGCTGCACGAACCTTAGAAAGAAAACAAAGATACTTGTTAAAAATTTACAGAATACAACAAAGGAAACAGCATTTGTGTTCAAACAATATAGTATTAGATCTCTTCCTTTTAACTTTCTATTCCTCCCTTCTACAAATAGGTTCCATAATTTTCATTAATCTACACTTTGTATGTAAATTTTACATGCATATTTAAGATTAAAATTTATTATCTAATAATTGACGTGTCAAAAATTACGATCATGATTGTAATATTATTGACCCAAAGCGTCAGATGGTGATGTCTAATATAAATTCCCTCACCTTTCCATTAGCTAGACCATATATAATAGGTTGTTCTGGTGGCCATATCAAACATGTTACAGCACTCTCTTGAACAAATTTATTACAAATAACTTTCTTATCTCCCCTAAAAAGAAATTCAAGCTCAATTTCAATTCAATCAATAAAATTTCAATTTCCAATTTTTTGCATTTCAAATATTCTATATTATTATTCAAACTAACTTCACATACATTGCTCTATCACTAGAGGTGACGTCTACATGCCTGTGCCTGTGCTTTCATAACTTTGCTTAACAACCTAAAATTCCTAATGGAAGTTGATAAATAAAAACTCACCATTCTTCACCTATTTTATAAACATATATTATATTATCAGTTTGTCCTATAGCTAGTTTAGTTGAATCATGTGAAAATGCGATGCCTTTAATAGTGTAACTCTTTTTACCATACTGAAATATAAACAATTTTCATGTTTTAACAGTCAGCATACATATAGTAGTAAAACATTATTTAGGGCTTGCTTGACTCAAATCAATTCCTATACTTATGACAATTATAGTTCAAAGTTGAATTGGAGTCAAAAAGACATAAAGTGAATATGGACGTACCTTTGGGTCAGCAGGTTTGAGAGAGAACTTATCTTTTTTTTCACCATGTTCATCATATAAAACTATAACTCTATCAGATGTACATACAGCAAACTTCTGATTATTATTAGACCAAGCTAGGGCACAAATCTTCGAAGCACCTTCCTGTAAAACAAAATGTAACAAATATTAGCAATTATTTCAATAGGCTTTTATCATCTGTCCCACATTCAGATGTCTGTTTTTTCCTTCTTAAGTTACCGAGATCTATGCCTATTTATTTAACACAACTTGTTTTGGCTTTGGTCTACTACTCTAGTACCAGTAATCAAAAAAAACAAAATTCAACGAAACATTTCCAAATATTTTTCGTTTTTAATTCAATCAAACTGTAATGAAGCCATTTATACTGTATGATGGTGTATTGCTCATTCGCTGTATTCATATTATGCATCTTCAGTTCTTGACCTCTTTATTTATTTATTTTTTTTTAACTTAATAATTTGAAGAGTTAGAATTCAGAATGGAAATGCAGATATAATCAATGTGGTGAGGTAAATAAAGAATCCAATCTTTTAACATGGCCATTTAGTTAGTTCTTTATTTTCAGTGGTTAAGAGATTTCTTGTTGTTGCCATAAGTTGATCATTTTGGTCTTGAGATTGAGTGAAATAATACTATAGAAATACAGTCAAGTAACCTAATTTCATGGTAACCTATTATTTGTGGATTTCCGGAAAGGATTAATAATTTACATGTGCGACCTCGTGTGACCTCCGCATTTGCTTGTTTTGATAAACATGGGTTTTCTGTACAATATCAGATAGTAGAATGAATTCAGTAGTTTCAAGCAAGGTAAAATTATTAATGTATACTTTGACAAATACAAAATGGCGGATTTCACTTATTACCAAACGTCACCATTTTTTATCGTCCGAATTTCCATATAATCCCAAGTGGTAATCGGAATTCCAAGTGTCGTCTGCTAGAAAGTAGTCCAACGAATGAAGTCACGTGATCAACTAGCGGATTCCGTGTCAGCAGAAAATTTCTATGGAACACTAAGTGGACCATATTATTATGTTATTTCCGTGACTTTTAGCAATAAATCACGCTACATATCTTATTTTGTCAGTCACTACTTTTTTTTTTAAAATCGTGGTTCTTTGAAGGAATTGTCACTAATGAATTGATATTAAAGATAAATACTAAGAGAAGTTAGTTATACCACCCGGTATCCATACAAGATGTTTTTCTAGACTTATTTATAGATCAAACATTGTACACGAAAATAGGTGACGCATTCTGCCGCGGTTGCCATGTTGGTTGCTCATGAAATATGGGTCAAAGTGAAGGATTCATAAAGAAAATCGAAATAAACCAATTTTAATTATTTTTTAGAAAATCTGAGGAAACATCTAAGACATAAAAAAAAAAAATTCGTTTTTTTGACTTTGACGAAATTCGGTGTTGAATCCTTATATCCACGAAAATAGGTTACACCACTGTAGTAGAATCAATCGAGATATTATCAACATTACAACTTAGTTACAAATGAATGAAGTACCTCAGGTTGCATAAGATTCTTAAAATGCTTCAGTCTCATTTTGGTAACTTTGGGCACATCAGTCTATCAAGCTTCTCATAAATATAATAACTTTCTGCAACTCTTTCCTCTTGATTTGTGGTAGATTTATGGAATGTTGTAGCAACACAGGAAGTGTAGGTGGCGCCATATCATGTCAAACCGCACATACAAAATTGGGCGAATTGGTCAAAGAGCGATATGACTATTTCCGGTCTACTTCATTAAAGATGGCTCCTGTTTGGAATTTTAGAAGAAAACCTAAAAATATTTTATATTCTTGTCAACTGGTAAAACTATGGATGCCTTCCGCCTTCTTTTGATGGAATTCGCTTGATTGCCCTTTATGGTTTTGTAAAGAGATTGAACTCTTGTTGAGTTTTTTCTAGAGAACCAAACAAGAGAAAGTAGACAAGAAGGCACTTTGTTGAAGCAGAAAATGAGAAAATAGCCTAAATTAAATAGGCTTATAAATCCTTTCTGTTAGAGCTAGATTGTTTTCTTGTTCATTTTCATAATCCTTTGAATTGGGCATGTTTGTTATTGTTCTGCCCTTTTTGAGTTTTTGGAGTTGCTTCATTTTTTCACTTGGATCCATTCAGACGTAAAAATATTTCGATTATTGCGTCCAATTTTGTCTCAGATTAAATAGAATGTGCCACAGTACCAAACTAGGTCTTTTGCTTGTGGGTAATACTTTTATATAGGCCTATTTTTATTTTATTTAATGATAAACTGACTGTTAGACCTAGTTGTAGAGGTTTTTTCATGCCACAGGGATTTCCGGGGTTGATTTGTACCTTGAATATATATAAATAGTCTTCAGAACTACTTTCAAGTCTGTATAATTATGCATACACTTGGATTTGATGGTTCAAGTTTCGACAATAGGCCTAAGCTGTGAACATTATTACTGATAAGGGTGGAACAATTCATGTTTCTGAGGCCAAGGTATGATTTACTCCCAGAAATTCAGCTTCTGTCCCCCCTTGATAAAAGATTAGAAATACCCATTTAAATCTTACAGTTTAATGCATGTTTACATTTCAGATTATATTGATATTATCGGTATTGATATATATCTGTCATACATCAGAAGATGGAATAAGTTATTCTAAAATATTTTATGTGGTTGGAAACTCTTTGAGATTTAGTTTGAACTGTTCTATAGTATGTCATCTGATAGTATTAGTTCTGACACTTGCCTATACTCGCATTACTTCAACATTGGTGGTAAGTGTTAAAGACCATTAATATAAGCTTAGATGTATGAGCAAAAAAAGTTTAGATGGTAATATCTGCATGAAAAGGCTACTTTTTAAATTTACCTAATCCCAAACTTACCAGTGTCAGATTTGACAAAAATGGGCAACATAATGATACATTTATCTGCTACTGCAATTGTAGACAATAGAAACAAATTTTGATGAGCAAGTTGATTATTTTAAGAATTTATTGACTTTGATGCAATAAAAATGTTTCCTTGTTGTGTTGTGACAATGCACATGTGAGTAACCCTTCATCAAAAGTATAACCCCTCTCATTGGGTAACCCCTTTCAATTTTTTTGATAAAATGTACTATTGTATTTTGCAGGAGTTTACTATGAATTGTATTAATGTATTGTTAATGATAATCAGCTCTATATTGTTATGTGTTTCTATCAATCAGATGTCAACAGTATCAGCTATACAGGAAGTTAATCTAACATTTCAGTATTATGATGTTAATATAGTAAGACTCTTTATTTTTGCATTCCTATCAGATATCATGCACTCAATTTTTGTTAATGCATAAATGAAAATATGGAATTAAATCAATTTGCACCCTTTTAATTGCCATAACACTATCATGCTATTCATAGTTAGTCTTTCTGGTTTTTCTGGCTTCAGTGACAGATTATTTTAATTTTATATAACCACACAAAGGTTATTCTACTTAATTAAAGTGCATTGTTTATGTTTATATCTAGGCCTGATTATAACCCACTAATTTATATTGTAATTTTATTTTACAGGCATTTACTTTTATGTGTATGATACTCCTTTGTGGAACAACATGGTATTCATTTTTTGAAATTAAAAAGAAGAGATTGTTTGATTTACCTATAAATGTTTCTCATTCCAATACTGATTTACCAAGTGATATTCCTACCTGATTGTTGATGTGACCAACAAGTCAACTTTACCTCTAAGTAGATACAATGAAGTAATCCTTGTAAGAAATTTAGTGGTTGAAACCAAGTTTACAAATTATGTCTACAGTGTAGGATCAGATTTTTGGTGATTTTGGTAAACTCTATTAAACCTTCAGTAAACGGTTATGTCTGTACCCCATAAGTCACAGAAACAGTGCTAAGTGATAGAAATATTACTGTTAATAAAAGTTGTTAGTTTTCTTAACTTACCAGATTAGTGGTTGTGAAACACCATGTGTAGTTAGTTTTTCTCTCTTTTTCTACTATCATACTTATTAAGTAGTTGACAGTTTAATTTATCATTAGCTAATAGCTGTGACATAATTTCATATCAATGCCTTAGATTAATTACATTTTCATCATAATTATATTTAACATGTTTTCATTTCATTTTATAGAATTTCATTTGACTTAAAGGGACAGATGCGCCATTGTAGGCAGTTGATTTATATCTTGAATATAAGTAAATAGTTGTCAGAAGTACTAGAAATCTACAAAACTGGCATACTTGCTTCAAACTATCTAAGTTTCTTTTCCTATTTCTATAGATGCCCTTTCTATATATAGCAGTGAATTAAGAAGAGACAATTTTCAAACGTGGATAATTCTTTGCTTACATTTCGATAATGAGCTGTAAACACTATTACTGATTATGTAAGCTAAAGAAAATCCTGTTTATGAGACTAAGATATCATTGGAGCGCATCTGTCCCTTTAAACCACTGTAGATTTCAGTGAGAAAGTTTTTGTCTGATATATCTAAGAAGGATTTATGAATAGTGGTTTTCAATAATAATGGCATGAAATCAGATTAATCATGAATAGATCTCTGGGGTCTGGGCAAGTATAAAGAAGTTCAAAGCATACAAAATAATATTATTTTTAGCTGTATCAAGTGCAATATATTTCCTGTCTGTAATCAGGTTGGTTTTAAACCATGTGGTCTGTTGTCTTTGTTGTTATATTTTTTTCTTTATTTTTACCATTTACTGCTGTTTATTTTGTTGTTTTATAATTTTTTTATATGTAATTTTGTTAAATATGTTTTAATGTACTGAAAATAAATTTAGTGCTACTTTTACATTGAGATATATGGAATGGTTTTGAGAGGTTAATACCTAATTTAAGCAGTAGCTTCTAATTTATCTCAGCCAACTCAGATCTGAAATTTTACCATTATAACTCTGTAAGTAAATATTGCTTTTTATTGTAACATCAGATCAGACTCAAAATCTACAAGACTAAACTAGCCTATTTTTTAAGCACAAGAGGGAAACCTAATTATTTATTAGAAAGCAGAAGCCAATAATTTTTGGAACTCCAGAAGACAATGCTTTGTTAATTTTATCTGTCTGAGTTTACAATAAGCAGTATATTTCCTCTGCTTTCTTTTCATTTTTCAATCAAGTTTGTTATCGAATGTTTCTAAACATTTTCTTGACGCTTGCTGCAATAAAAAATTGAAATGTTCTTATAAAAAATATTTTTGAACATGAAATTTTATGATTATATTTATTGTATGTGTTTAGATAGCAAATTTTAGCCACCCCACTGTCTCAAGTTTAATTGTGAATTAAAGTTATGTTATTTCTTTTTAAATTTTCGACCTTCAGTTTTTGAAATATGAATTTTCAACTTGATCCATGCTATAGGCCCTACCATTGAAAATCTTGTAAAAATATTGTACTGATTTCTACATTTATAGAAAATAATCCTCATGTCAGTCAAGTGTGGTATAAAATATATTATGTAAATATTTCACAGACAAAAATGATAAGATTATTAATTGTTTCGTTTCATCATACATAATAAGAACATTGCAGCAATCCTCATGAAAACATGTTTTCCAGTTCGCGAATATCAAGACTAAAAATGACTTGTCAGAGGATGTTGGAGAATCCAAGACACTGTATCATAGAAACATCTGCAATATAAGAATTAATCGTTGGTCTCTAAGGCGCTATTGGTGTGAAAAGAAATAAATCATTGCGCAACTTCCTCAGTTGATGAACTGCGTGTCACACCAACAATTAATTCTTAAATGATCAATATATGGGGTAATTATGGGAGGAGTCCAGTAAATTTTTGGTATATCAATGGGAATGTCATAATATAACTTAAGATGAAAAGAAAACACAGTTACTATCATGTATTGTTGATAAAACAATAGACTGGCAGGTTTTATTAATGATTATTTACATTATGATATTAATATTATACATAGCTTATAAAAACATTGCTTCCATTAGTTAGCTCATAAAAACATACCACATAGCTGATAGTTATCCTTACATATAGTTTCTGTAGTCATCCAAAAATCATAAATTAATAAGTGTTGCTTCACACAAAGCTAAGTTTAGTTCAAGAAACTATTAAAAGAATTTTAAAAAGACATAAATATAACTATCCTTTCTATGTCATCCAAAATACTGCAAGCTTATTACTACAGTTCCTCGACAGTACAGATATTCTAAAGAAAAATTGTACAAATAGAAACTATTTAAGTAAATTCAACACAGTTAAGTTGAAATAACATGTTAATAAATAATATTATCTAAAATATAGCTTACTAAAACTTCATTCCAATATTATAACTATATATACAGGTAGTAGGACTGAACACTAATAGAAAACTTAACAACATATTTAAGGCATCTATAGCTGATATTGTGTCATTCGTTAGGTTATCATGGACAGAACTAGATTAATTAAGAGAATAATTAAGAGAATAATTATACCAATGAAAGTAATAGGGTAAATACAGACCAATATATAAAAGCATATTACATAATGATTATGATATAAAAATAATGCCAATGGTATAATTATAAAATAAAGAACAGAATATTATGGATTGATTTCATTGTTTTGGATAAGCTAAGTAGAGGTAAGTCAAGTGAAAATTTATCAAAACTTGTTTTCAAGATCTTCAAGCTTCTGTTCAAACCTTAATTAAAATTGACAAGATTAAAAATATGTTCATTGTTATAATTCTTCAAAGGATACTGTTGTCTGAAACATTTGCCTTCCTGCTAGTTAAGCTCAATTTCAGCTGTCCGTACCCCTTTTCAGAATGTGAAATATCCAAACTTATCTTATCATACTCATCTGCCATTTCACTCCTTGTATTAGTTTAATGTATTCAAAATGACTTATTGAAGATTAAAAAAAGCATATGAAATTGACTAACCATTGCATGGTAGTAATTGACATGTGACTACCCATTGAATGGTAGTAATTGACAAGTGACAATCCATTGCATGGTAGCAGTTGACAAGTGACAATCCATTGCATAATAGTAATTGACGAGTGACAACCCACTGCATGGTAGTAATTTATAAGTGACTACCCATTGTATGGTTGTAATTGACAAGTGACTACCCATTGTATGGTTGTAATTGGCAAGTGACTACCCATTGCACGGTAGTAATTTACAAGTGACTACCCCTTGTATGGTAACAGTTGACATTGCATGGTAGCAGTTGACAAGTGACAATCCATTGCATGGTAGCAGTTGACAAGTGACTACCCATTGCATGGTAGTAATTGACAAGTGACTACCCATTTCATGGTAGTAATTGACAAGTGACTACCCATTGCATGGTAGTAATTGACAAGTGACTATCCAATGCATGGTAGTAATTGACCGTGTCTACCCAATGCATTGTTGAAAGTAGGAATCAACAAGAATATTGAAAGTGCGAGCAATATGTTTTATAAGTAAAATGATAATATAAAATGGTTAATGTGACCAATGTATATTATTGATTGTGATATTTGATCTTTTCTTATAATTCTGGTAAAAATGTAAAAATATTGTAGCAAATTATTAATATTCAGAGCTGTCTTTGACTAGAACAAGTTTATAACTGTAATAAATAAAAATATACATTTTGTCTTAATATACACTTAAAAAACAAATAAAATATTCCTATTAAAAATCATAGTATTGTTAAAACATGTGAAGCAATTAAAATAAGTATGAATACTTTTGTCTCTTTTAAACAAAATGAAAAAGCATGATTTTGCAATCAAGTAAATTGTTAATGATAATAACAATCATTATTCTATACTAGGCTATGAATTCAATATAAAATTAAAGCCTTTTGTCTATTTATTCACATAAACTTCAACTGTCAAAATCTAACATTAGTTTTGTCATTACTTTTTCATTGGGAAAGTGTACTGAAATGTGGTTTAACATAGTTTTGGCACTTCAAAAATATGATCTATAATTAGAACACTATCCACATAGTTAAAGATTGTCGCTTGACTTTAGTTTTGCAGATTCAGACAAGAGATCAAAGGTATTTGGAATCAGTTTAATTTTAAGTGAACTAGGCTAAGTAAGAATTATATACAAGTGATAAGTTATAGCACTAATAAGACAGTAGAATAATAATAATTCGCTTTGTTATAAATATTTACATAAATAATGTTAAGTTACATATTAATAACCAAAATCTTATATAAGATAGAATATAGACTTCAGCTCTTTGAAATTTTTCTTAAATTTGAAGAAAAAATGTCCCTTTTCATACTAAAATGACTGTGAACTTACACTAAGCTGTCCATAAATTTTAATTTTGGAGTTCAAAATTCTTAAAAAGAACTATACATTGAACTAAAAGGCTATTTCATTACTATATAAAGTAAAAGTCAACATTGGAACAATTCAGACTTATTCTAAAACATTGCTCTCTCTAACCTCTCTAACAATAGCATTATATATAAGACACACTAAGAAAGTACAAGGAAGGAAATTATTAAATATTGAAAGCCCTGTGTATCTTATTATAACAATTATACAAAACATACCCCCTTACAACATTATGAAAGCCCATTATTGAAATATTTTACACCATAATTAATTATTGTATTGTAGTACTGTTGTTTTACACATTAGGCATTTGTTCGATCTTGTTGTTGAGCAGTTATCAAAAGCATTATTCATTATTAGACAGCAACATAGCATATTGTCTGTATATATATTCATTAGACTCCATAATGATATCAGCATAGGAACAGAAAACAATTTCACCAAACAAATATTATCTGAAATAACTAGTTAGATATCATAATTCAACCTCCACAAACCATGATTTCATCATGATCATCACTTAACCTCAAACCATGTTTTCTATGTGATCATTATTTTTCATTCCTGAAACCATGATTTCAAATGATCATTATTTTTCACTCCTCAAACCATAATTTCAAAGTGATCATTATTTTTCAGCCCTCAAACCATGATTTCATCATGATCATTATTTTTTTGACTGCCTGGTTTAGAAACATAACATGATTCAACACTCATTCTATCAACATAAGAATTAGATAGCTGTGAACTAGTGTCTGTATAATCACCATCTATACTGTCCATTGATTCTGTTCTAGAATAACTACGCGCTCTACCTGAGTATTTTTTAGGTAATCTTTTACTGGGATTTGGTGCCCTGCGTTTATTGGGATACTTCAATGCTGGTGGGACAACTATAAAAGAAATGAAATTACTATAAAAATTCACCAAATGCAGTACCTAAATAATGGCTCTGTGTCAAATGTCATTTTTCAAAATCTGGCCCTTGACATAGGTGTCTATAGCAAAGCATATCAAACAATATTGTTTATTTTTCACTATCATTTAAAAGTGCAGTGAGTCCATTACTTCTTGTTTCAATGTTTAACCTTCACCTACCTGGAAGGTCGAATGTTATAGCATACTCTTCATTAAAACTATCTCGATCTTCTAGAAAATCTGATTCATCCCCAGTTAACATATCTTCATCAGAACTAGGTTGTCGGAAATCCAATGCTGGTAACTTATATGTTAAATTATCCCTACAAAATACCAATAATGTTTAAATATATGCAATAAATTTCAGTCTGACAGCTAAATATATACAATACATATCAACAAAGTAGATGATTCTACCCATATATGAATTAGCTCCTTTTGAGAGTGAAATTATATATTGATATCTCTACCTTTCTTGATGTATAGAAGCTATGTGAGCTGATAAAACTCTTTCTTCTTCTCTTAATTCTTCCTCTTCACCATCAGTTTTATCCTTTACTGGTGGTAAAACTTCATGACGAGATCCAGGACGACGCTAAAAATAGTTCAAGTAAAGTTAGAGCAGCTGATTTGGAATGAGAAAATCAAAAATAGTTATTAAGAGCAAAGTGAGTGAACTCGTTGAACAGGATATATTAATTGAAGATTACTTACTGGAGATCTAATACTAGCTCTAAGATATGTTAATCTATCAGTAGCAGTCTTTTCAGCCGACTCAAGTGTATTTATATCACTTAATGTTGCTTTTAATTTCTTTAACCTTTCACTAATAATATTCTCTAAACATCTAAAATATAAGGTACATTAAGTTAAAATGAGTTTTGCATTGAAATACATCTATTTCATTACGTGAATCAAAACGTTTTTGTTGCTTAAGAAATATGATAAAATACTTCATTTTGAATATTTTCCACTTGCCAAGTGTTTAAGAAAACAAATACTGCCCCATACAAATGTCAGAAACACAAAGTATTTCAAACGACAATGGTAAAAGAATGATCTCTTAAACTGACACAAGTAGACAACTGATGGTATAATAGTAGAAAATAGTCAACTTTTGAAGACAATATTAGTACTTACATATTCTGTTTTGGAACTTGTTTCAGACAATCTTGTGCCTGTAGATTCTTATTACTTCGTAGTAAACATGGAGCAAAAATAATAGCTAAAGCTTGAGCATTCATCATATTACTATCCTCATGCATTGCAACCCTGTCAATAAAAATATACTGGTATCAGTATTGTAATTTGGAAAAAAGAACAATAAAATTTGGCTCAACTGAATACACATCAATTGATCTTAGGTTCGTTCCTTAGAGAGCCTTCTGAAGCGTAAATTTCTGCTATCTATGGTTTGCTCACCTTGCTAAATGGAAAATTAAGCGTTCAAAGAGATCAAAATTTGGTTTGGGGAGACTTGCTATCACAGAAGAAAAGGTTTGAATTCTTTCTTTGTCATCTTTTATATCTGCAGCCATAAGGAATTCATCATAGAGGTCAAACGTCATCAGAGGTTCAGGTAAATCACGGAAAAATCTTTTCAAAACAGTACATAAAACATGGACAGGATAGTCTTCTAATTTGACATTGTTCTGGTCTGAAATCATATAAAATAGACATGGAATCATTTACAAAATGTCTGATAGATCGATTATTCAGAGGTAATTTGACAAGAACTCAACACAATATTTGGAATATTCAGTAACCAATTATGTAACGTTATACAAAAATATCTTTTGCAGACGCAATTACTAAAATACCTACCACTGTCAATTTCTTGTAACAATGCCCGAACTTTTGGTGCTGAACCACATTTTCTATAAATACCGACTATAAACAAACCCTGTATCTCTATCACACTGATTAATTTTTCTATTATATTAGGTACTTTTTCATTAGGAGCTAATAATGATTGTAATGGAACATTCATAACAGAACCAGAACTACCCTACAATATAATATGATTAATATTAATCAGAATCAATTCATTCATAGAAATATATAGGTAAATTGGTTTGACTGAAATTTGTTAACTTGGAGATGAAATACACAATAACATTGCGAGCAATAAATTTGTTAACTTGCTAAAATATATTGGAAATCTGTTAACCTGCATAAATGAAATTTGTTAACTTGAAAACTGTAACATTGTGAGAACTGAAATTTGTTAACTCTTGCTCAAAATATATATAAAACTTACATAACTGAAATATGTTAAGCATGGGACACAATGCATGGTAATTAGAATATATATCTGCAATGCTCAATATGAATATAATCATAATACATACCCTATTATCTAAGGTTCCTTTACAGGCTGAACTAGACTTAGAACAACATTTTTTATGACAAGTATATTTACAAACTGGAAGAAAAGAAAGAGGAATATGTTAATTTAAAGATTAATACAAACATTAAGCATAATAAACTCAATACATTTGGATGGGGTTATCTTGGCGAAATCTGCTTCCCAATGACCATCTATATTTTCTAGTGTGAATAATATATTTAATATAGGAAAAAAACGCAATTGAAATATTTCAAGTGGCATTTAAATGTCTATAGAATAAAGTTTACAGCTAAGAAAATTAGTTTTTGTATTGATTATTGAAACCTACTTTGACAGACTTGACCTTTCTCCATAATCCATATTAAAGATGAACAAAGCTCACAGAATGTAGGAATGTTAAACTGAACCTGCAGAAACTTGTGACCTAGATGATCCTAGAAAATCATCAACAAAATATCTTAGATCACATTTAATGCTAAAATATAAATGGAACTACAATGAACTATTTTCAAAGCTTTTCAGAGTGTATTTTCAAATTAGTTTTCATGATGTCAAACTTGAGGGATGGAGACAAGAAAGTGAGTACTTGGGACGGTTGAAAAAAAAAGTATGATAAGTTACTGTCCTTTCTCAAATTGTCCTCTTGCTCACTATTAGTTCAAACATTTTCCATAACTATAGCCCAAGTTCCAATGACAAATGAGAACTGTTTGAACAGTGAGGGCTTGTATTTGTTAAGAACTTGGTATGAATTGCCACTAAAATTTCAATCCAAGTCATGCATCTAAAGCCCAGATATTGTTTTGATCTAGTAGGCCTACTATTAGTTGAAATTCACGAAAAATGAAAGTTTCAAACTTACCATTGTACAATCCTTTTTATTTTTATCTTTTTTAACAGCTTTAGTTTCTGTCTTCTTTTCTTCTTTCTTTTCTTTTTTCTTTGGTTGAGCTTTCATAAAACCATCAAGAAAGGCATGGAATGCGTTAATTCCCATAGTTACTGGAAATGTAGCTGTAGTTCTTTCTCGAATTACCCCTGCTTTTAGTACTTGCTCAAAATTACTTAATAAATCTCTGTACTTCACACAAACTTCATCTCTCTGAAAAAATAGAAATAACTTTCTTAATTTCATTTTAGCAAAAAACCATTTCATTTGACATAGGATAATATCAATAAAACATAAGAAAATTTGATGTCCTGATAGAAATGACTGAATGGTTTCAGTGAGGTAGTGAGATCAAACAGTTGTATTTACTATATATGTTAATTAATATTATTAAAGCTTGGACACTGATAATTAATCACAATCAACTCTCTTCAATCTAATTAAATTTTATATTTAGCAGTCCTTGTAATATTGGCTTCTTATTTTCTTCAAATCTTTATTTTAATTACATCAAACTTTCCAAACAAATTTTTATTAATCAGCCTTTATAATAATGCTCACTTGTTTCTCCAGAAAATAAATTACGTTACCTTTAAATAACATCAATAAAAGAGTTTGAGCTTAACCTAATAAAAAGTTGATCACTATCATACCCTATTGCTCATATCATAAAATTGTTATGGTGGCAAGAAAATATTTAGTTACTTCAAATTTGTAATACAATTTGTGTAAAGACATCCTGATTCATAAAGTGAAGAAGTAATTTCCAAATTATGGTAAATTGAATAGTAAGATTTTTTGACCAACTTATAAGCATTGAAATTGAATTTTTACTTTGGATAGTTGAATCAAAATCAGTAAAAAGTACAATTTATTAGATGCTACATGAGTAGATACTGCATGAAAATCATTGAAATACGAAAAAAAAGATTTGAAAACAGATTTAATTTACCTGCATTTGAACACCAATTAAAGTTTTAAGATCTCTTCTGAAATCTTCAATAGCACCTTTAAATATCTTATCAAATATAGTATAACTTCTTTTTTCACTGTCTTTAAATAGTTCCATATACTACAAAAATTAAATATAATAGATAAGATACTGCTAGTTGTGGATGTAACCATAATTCTGTTGAAACATTCAATTTTCATGAGTCATCCAATGGTACAGGTCTAGGTTGCATCCTCACAACAAAAGTCAACAATAATAAATTAATCATTTTTAGATTCATTTCTTTAATGGTTTTGAAAATTTGAGAAAACTGCTTTGGTTTCCACTATGATATTAGTTTACTGTTCCTACCTTTTTGCTGATAAATTCATCCAATGCCATTATCTCATTGAGATCAGTTATAACTAATTCTGCTGGATATTGCCATTGTGATGTACCAGCTACACTCCAAGTAGGCTGAGGATCCTGTGAAGTTACTTTCTGGGATGATCTTTGTCTTCGTTTCTTCTTACGATTCCAACCAGCTTTAATAGACTCTTCCACTTCATCTTTTTTATTGGGTGATTTTGGTGGAATTTGTATTGGTGGTAAAACAGATACACCCACTGAAAAGCAAAATTAGTGTTAGATACAGAAGCCCCATTCTATATTTCAAAAAAATAATACTAGAAACAGATTGTTATTTAATTTCTTTTCTCCGTAATTCTAAAAAAGGTACTAAAAGATGAAGATCATACTGAAATTCTTTTTGAAAAAAATATCAAAAACAATATCTATTCAGCCATCACACCGAGCAACCATAGATAACTATAACAAGCAACGCAAAAACCAGCTAGCTTACCATCAATAATAAAAGAAAACGTGCCTTCTGCTACAGGTTTCATAAAGACAATAGTTATCTACTCCTAGTACTCTAGTCCAATTTATCAACAGTCTAGTTTACTAATCAATATAGCCCATACACATCTCTTATATATACTCTCTTACTTTATTTATTAAACACGTAAATCCAGGATTCCATCATAATACTGACGCCAATATTGACATCACATTTTTCTAACTAGGTTAACTTCATTATCTTTTATTTTTAGTCCAGTCATCAATATGTAATTGTAAACAAAACCTAGAGATTTCCAATGCTGCTTCAAAATTAGCTGGTTGAAACAGCCCTTAGTGTTGACACATGATATCATCATATGATTAATTTGTGAAAAATTATGGCAAAAACATGGTCAAAACTCTCTCTCCTCATATTGCTAGTCAACCTTGCTAATTTAAGCTAGAAAATAATTCCCAAGTAGTTTGATTAAAGAGCTTAAGATCTTGCACTGTTTAAAGGAATGGTAAAAAGGTTTTCCAAATTTTCTATGTGCATCTGGGGCTATGACATCATCAATTTGAACCATTTTAATTTTCAATCAAACCTATGTGATTCCTCCAATTCCACTAAGAGCTTGATTTTTTTGATTGAGAATTGGAATGGTGCAAATTGATGTGTACCGATACACATAAAAAATTTAGAAAAGCAGTTTACTATCCCTTTTAATATAACTGATTCTTTCTTTCTCTCTAAGATAAAATCTAGATCTTGAGACAATAAATAATTAAAGCTGGATAAATATGCAATTAATTAATAATTTCAAGTTTATCACTCCCTTGAATACATTCAGGATTAGCATGTCTAAATAAATTACAAACTTTAACTCAACTTGAAAAATCAAAACAAAACGTCAGAGCAAAACTGAAGACATACATGAGACAAACAACCATAATAATTAAATCAGGTTGATATTAGAACTAGACCACCAGTTTAACTAACACACACAAAGAAAACTAGCCTTGAATATCATAACAACAACAAAGACTTAGCCATGAACTAGATCATAATTAAATCAATTGATGTATTGAGCACTATTTTAACAGTCAAAATATTTTGTTATTGTAATAATCAAATCAAATATTTTATCTGGTATTTAGATATGATAATACAGAAAGGCACAGAAACAATTTTTAAGTCATATTAGAAAGACACAGTTAAATTCAGTCCAAAACACTTTTCAAAATCACAATCTAAGTTTTGATACAATATGTGATTTCATCAAAAAAGTCTATAACAAGCCATATCAATATTCATATGGAGATCACAAATGATAAATATTATTAATAACTTGATAACTTGTAATATTCTGACATCAGTGACAGCCCATTAGAAATACAGTGATGGGGGTGAGATCGATTGTACTTGGCAAACAGACTCTGACAGTTGTCCCCCAAATAAAATCATTCTGCCACTGTTGCAGAAGGCTGGCTCTGCCAGTGTTTGAATTATAAACAAATTAATCAGATGACTACTTAACCCCTCCACTGTCTTGAAATCTTATCTCAAATTTGTAATTTATAACTTGCAGATTGTTAACTTTTAGCCCTATTAATGCAGCTGTATAAAAAAAAATTGCTACTCAATTTGGACATCTTGGATTGGATTAGATTAAATTACAATATGACAAACAACCTGACAAATGTTCATCACAGATCAGGAAGCTTGAAAAGCCTTAAAAATCATATATTGTATTCATGCTGTCATTACAACATTTAGATTTATTAACAATAACTTTCTATCTATCATGCACCATGTTAAAACACACATCAATCAAACTATTCATAAAACTCATAGTTCTTCATTTTACATGTAAGTCTGTAACACATTGGAATCTGTATCTTTATTTTAGGTATTTAGCATGCTCTGAATTAAACAACCCCCTTTAACCAAGGTTTGGTAAGACATGATGGGATTTTGAAGGACAAAAACAATAACTCATGCTTATCTATATCTATATATTAGTTAGGAATTGAAACATTCAAAATCTCGCTTACTTCCATAAATTGCATAACGAAAATTTCCATCTGAAAAGTATTTAATACGATAGATATGACTTTTGCTTTGGTTTTTGCAGAAAGAAATATTGTGTATGGTTATTGTGCTGTTCCTCAGCATAAACAGAAGTCCTACTAGCAATACCCACAAAAGGAACAGCAGAATTTTTCATTTGTCTGTTGAAATGCATAGAGCTTGCATCAACATTTGATTTATCTCAATAATATGCCATATAAAAGTACCTTAAAAGGCAACTTACATTCTGTTGGTTTTTTACTTGATTCTTCTTCTTCATCACTTTCATCTTTTCTCTTCTTGGCTCCTACAATATATTAATTATCATAAAAAATAGCATAATATGTTCATGCTGTATAACAGAGATGTTGGTGTATTGTGCTCAGTTTATATATTATTTATATATAAATATATATATAGTCTATCTACTACTGATTAAAATTATTCAACAATGTTGACAAGACATAATTCAAAATTCAATGTCCAGTTCTTACAATTACATAAAACATACCATTCAAATTGAGACTGTTGGACTGTAACAACACTGTCATGGGCATAACTTATGTTATCAATAATATCTACAGAAATATCTGAGAATGTCATTCAAATTAATGCAGCCAAAACAACCCTATTATTCATGTTTTATAAAAGACAGAACGGGCTATATTTTAACACCTTTTTGTCTATCATGTTTGTGCAGAATGGAACAGAATAGAAATCACTTAATATTTTTAAGAGATGATTCTTTACAATTCAAAATGTTTTTAAGAGACACTAATAAAAATATTCAATGATATGAATATAAAGAGAAAAAGAAAGTATCATGCTAAGAAGAGGCTGTAAAAATGATAGAGACACAATAGATTGGAAAATGAAGACCTACAGAGAGGAGAGATGTGATCAGTCAGTTTTTGTGCTCATAGAAAACTCACAGACAGGAATTAATGAAGATAAACAAGATGTAAACATGACATAGATAGAATGGAATATATCCTGATATTTTCTATTATTAGTTGAAGGAAGACAATATTTTGGTTATGGAATCATTTGGCATTCAGTTGACTTACTCTTGACACGTCTAAGGGACATGTGACGAACAAAATGTTGTGAAGGACTGCAAGCACCAACTTCTACTTAATTAAAAAAAATACAAGAAAATATAATAGGGACATACACTTTACAGACAATGTGAAGTTTAATTCTATAGCTTAATATATAGCAGGTCTGGCTTGTTTTTAGCAATACAAAAGTAAAACCCGAAAATGTCTGCTCCATGATAGGATAATTGATGTAATCAAATCACAAGAATTATAAAGTTCTCAGAGGTTTTGCTTAATCAGAGCTTAACATCACCACTTTCTTATCACAATAGGATAATGTTAATAGTGTCCCACAGTAACCAATGTCTTAACTTCCATAACTCATATTTAGTAATGTGTGGTACAACAGTAAGCTTAGAATTGATTTTTTTTTTCTCAATTCACAAACATTAAAAAAGAATGTCTTAGGTTCCATGGAACTATAAGGTTTAGCGATTTCACATTTAATAAATACACCCCAGAAATTTTCTCTCAAATTTGGGTCTAAAAATTCCCTTCTGTGAAATCATATCTTCAAATCTTTTCATCATCCTAAAGTCAATCTAAGACTCTCAGTGATATTTTGAATATGATGTTTCAATTCATACAAAATAATTGGTAAATACTTTATCCCTCTATATAACACAATCTGAACCTGATACGTTAATTTTGAAATAGTTTCTGAATTTCGAAGAGCTGCATTTAAGACCTTTGAAGCTAGGAAAAGTTTAGAATTAATCTTCACATTGCCTATAAATACCATAACAAACTTGCTCTACACACAACAAAATGACTTCAAAGTACCAAATGTTATATAATTACCTGCAAGGAAATTTTTTAAATTTTGAAACATTGCTTTATGACTTTTTTGACTGACTTCAAGATTTTTATCAGGGTCAAGATGATTCTCAGGTTTATCACGACCCTTAGATACAGCAGATTCTATATTCTTGAGTTGTTCTGGTGAAACAACTGATATACCACTAGGTTTACTAGTCTCAGTTGGTGTGGTTGGGGAGTCCTAAAACGACAATATATCATATTATATATCATATTATATATCAACTAAATATCATATAATATAATTCATAATGTTTGAAATATCCTTATTAAAATTTCTAAACTTTAACAAAGCAGAGAGCAAAATTTCTACAAAGGAGACATACGATATTGTATAATTCAACACAAACAAATCCTGGCGCATTTTCAAAATACCTCAATTTCTTTTGAGGAAAAATCCAAAAATGTTCTATTTGATATTAAGTAAAAACTCATAATTTCAAATTGCTTTTTTTGTAATTGCTTTTTTTTTTCAGCTTATTGAAACTATTTAAGAAATAATTAACTGTTATACAAATAAATTGGGATAAATTCAGAATACAAAGTCATGCTCAATCCTATCTGGCACCAATTTCAAAAGCAGAAAGGAAAATTGTGCAATAACAACTTCAGAAACCAAATTGCAAATTCATTCGAGACAGAATAATGACGCAAAACCAGCAACAGATAATATAAGCTAGGGAAATAACAGCTAAACCTTGGTGCACACGACATGTTACAAAGGTTACAAATTGGGTGACAAAATATTTTTCAACTCAAGTTTGAGTTGAAATAAAATAATTCTAAAACAGTGTTTCATACAACATTACATATTCTAAAATAACAAAATACAATGATATGAAATGAGAAGGAAATGACTTTATGTAGAATGTAATTCATTGTACTGAATTTTCAAACATGATTACACATTGCTTTTGACTAAAATACAGATCTAGATTATTTTGTTTCATGTTTTATTTGGTACTGGCTTTCAGGTTGTGCTTCAATAAAATATTCTAAAAATCTAATGCTATGTTCAATAAAATGAAATGGGAGTGTTACATCTTCTATAACTATTCAATATAAGATTTACTGGCTATATGTGAGGATTTCTGGAACATTTCTGCTACACATTGTCTTCCCACTTATAACAATGCTTTTGATTGGTTCGTCAATATTTGACATCATGGGCTCCAAATTCTATGAATTCATTCAGATCATGAATGAAACCAACAGAAAATAATACCAACAGAACATTTAAATCCACATTTTACCCACAACATGAAATCCACTTTTGTTGTCAAAAATAATGATTCTCCAAAGTGTTTAAAATAAGTATTAATCAAGTAAATACCTAATAATGGATATATTGAGAGTATATCAAAATTGAGTGTGTTAATAACAACACTAGTAATCAGATGATGTATCAATTGAATGTATACTGATATGTATGATAATATAATGTATTATGGTTTGTGTATGAAAATATGATTTATCATGCATGATTAAATAATGTAGAAATATCTTAAATATAAAATAAATTTAAATATTAAATTAGCTTATTCCACAGGACAAAAAGTTACAATTGTTTCCTAATGTTTATTAATTTGTTCAGACCAAAATCATTCTTTTAAAGCAGAAATTTGCATATATTCAATTTTAGCAATGTCCACTAAAAATGTAATTTAATCCAAAAAATCACAGAAATATAACCATACAGGACTTGTGATGACATAATTCATCATATAGTGTTACTTACAAATAAATTATTTATAAATGACATCACAAATCCCAAATTATAAAGATGATAAACCATAATATCTTTATGTTTTGTGGAATAAATAATATAATCAATTCAAAAACCAGCTTCCACCAAACAAACATTATAATATATAACAACTATACAACTACAAATTATTGATGATGCATGGGTTAAGCTCAGCAAAAAGCAAATGTCAAGTGCAGCAGAACTCTCACCAAATCAGAAAATGATTCTTGTTTTGCTAACGGAGCAACAGCTGGTCGTGGTTTCCATCTTTGAGATCCTCGACGTATTAAAACACTTCTGCCGTCCGTCTGGCATTAGCAAATAATAACAATAATAAAATTTAGAAAGTATCATAAAACATTAGGAGATTTGAGAAAAAATTGTTATAGATTTACATAAATATTGGGACAACTATCAAATTTACCCTTTTTTATTGCCCTATGTGGGGCCTAATTTTTCATTACTAATGTGTCATATGATTAAAACAATTCTTCAATTCATTTGATACAAAACTTCAATAACTGAATACAGTTTACCAACTGCATAATACATGCAATATAATGGATAATATAGGCTGCAATATGATGGATACTGTCATGCATGAAATTTTCTCTCCTAAGTAACGAAAATGGCCAAGAGAATTTTGAAAAAATTTGGTGACTTAAAATGTGAGTTATGTTAAAGTTGATCAGCATAGCATTGAATGTTAGTGTTTGTGACAGTCATATTGTGATCTATGAATATTCTGTGTGCTGAGTGAAGTGCTTAATTTTGACCATTTTAATTCAAGTGATAATCAGTATCATTCCTAAAAACCCTCAAAGAATTCCTGCAAGAATCATTGTTATGCTTAATTTTGACCATTTTAATTCAAGTGATAATCTAAGTGATAATCTGTGACTCAGTCCTTCTTGTAATCCTTCAAAGAATTCCTGCAAGAATTATTGTTAATATAAATAATAATAAATTGCAATGTGATTAAATTGAATGAATGATATACCATGCTGAATAACAATAAGAAAATGTACATACCTCATCTAGTGATGATTGTTGGAAAGTTTTGGCTATTTCTGAAACTCTGTAAGAGAAAAGTAAATAAAAATCTGAAAACTGCAAGAAAGGTATGTACCTAATACCTAATTGCAAATTTATTATTATTTCTATTATGCATTTAAATAATTTTCTCTTAATACCAAAAATCTAAAAAAGTACCAAAAGTGAAACTGAGAGCCATTGTGATTTTATGATTAAAAGATTGAATGCTATAATTAGGCTTATATTATTTATATTCAATAAATATTAAATCTGTTTGTCTATAAGTAGACTTAATTAAATCAATCTGAATGTAATTAAAGCATGATAGCTTTAAGATATATTTAACATTTATTTGAGAGAGCAATTTCTTGATTGGTCCATAACAAATAAAAAAGTCTTAATAATAAAAAAACAACAGTACCTTCTCTGAGCCTTGCCATCCTCTTTACTTATAATAGGTGATTGTTCTATAAATACTGTGGAAGAATCTTGACTAGCTGGTGTAGTAGGACGGCTATCTTTATTATTATTATCATGTTCTATTGTTTCATTTTCTGAATCAGCTAAAATACCACTACTCCTAAAATATAGTATATTCTTACATATTTCTTAACATGATAGACACAACAAAAACATCCCACATATTATACATTACATTTATTCTGTGCTTAAAATCTGAACCATAATATAAATTTAAGTCAAAAATTGTCCTTGTCCAACAAAGTTATTTACCAAGGTTTAATCTAATGCATTTATGAACCACTATATCTAATCCACATGTTATTTTGTGTTTTCATTATAATCATTGAAGAGCTTCAACATGTCAACCATAGGATACATCTGCTTTCGTTCATTTTGCATGAATCTTGATAACTTCATGTATGTTTTAAAGTGATGAACAATACATGTATCTCAATCAAAATACACCATAGACAACACATGTTTTAGATTTAGGTAATAGTTATATCATACTAATTAAAATTTTCGTAGTAAAGTGTGGGCATGGTCAAATAAAACTCTATGCTACCTGTAAGTCAAAAGGTTGCGTGATTAAGAAAAGTATTCACTTAATAAAAAATTTAGCTAATGCTGATTGGATGAAAAAGAATGTGAGGTTCTTTGTGATGTTAAATTTTAATCTGGTATAATAAGAATATAATATACTTACGCCTCAGAATCTCTTCTACCAACTGATTCTTCTACTTGTTCTAACTCTTCAGCACTAGAACCTTTCATTAACACCCCTTCATCACTAGCAGATGACTGCATATCTTCATGATGTTTCTTTATTTCACGTCTTCTATGTTCTTCTTCTATTATTCTTTGTCTTTCTTTTTCTTGAACTAGTTTTAAGTGTCTGTAATAATCACAATAACAAACAATAAGAAAAAACAACAAACAATTTGTCAAAAACATAATACAACACCTTAAAAATCAAAATCACTGTATCACATTAATGTGTTTGCTTTTTAATCTAACTTGGTAGGATGCCGTTTATGAAACTGCAGAATAGGGGAATTGGGAATAAAAACATTAAGGGAATTTGTGCTATAAAATGAGCATGTTAAAAATCATTGAAGTGATGCAAATAAAAAGTTTTCTCTTCTGGTCATGTAAATCTTTTTCAGCCTGTTATCATTAACACAATAATAGCAGTGAAGTAATTGTGCAAACAGAAAGTTGTCATCGAGATAGTTAGAATTCTCTTCAATTCTCCATGACCCTGACTTAATCCAGGCTTCTGAGAATCAACCTCCTACCCTCTCCACTTCATTAGTTACACACAAATAAAACACATATCAAGTAATCTAATCTAATTTTACCTCTTTCTATCTATAAATGTTCTGACTTGAGCTTGTATTAAAATAACCATATTTCTAGTGAAATGATAAAAACTTCTAACTCTATAGCCTCTATACCATCTCTGTATTGTTACAGCAGCAAACTCTTCATTACGTAACTGATGTAATTTTTTAACCGCCAAAAATCTTCTGACATATTTCTACCAAAATAAAAAAAATTTTGAAATTCATGTTGTCAAAAAGCAAAAAGTATTTTAAATTGGAACAGTCTAGTCATAATACAAATTTTGAAACAAACGAGCTGAACTTAATGTAGCAGGCCAATCATGTTGAATTTAGAGAGTTTGAAATATTCAGTAGTGCTAATATAACACAGTGTAAAATAGTATGAAATTTTCCTATCACTCTGTAATTAATTCATTGTATTGAGCATCATTATATTTTTGATGTAAGAGAGGAACTTAACCTAAGTTAAAATTTAATTTACCTGCAAGATAAGACTAGCCCAGCGTAACTTGACAAATAATTGCCGCTCTATAATAGTTTTCATCCATCTTTGAATACGAACAACTCTCTCCATTATAGCACGATGTAAGGCTTCATCTAGTAACATTTTCTCAGTTTCACGTAGAAATACCTGAGGGAAAAATAAAACAATGGCATTTAGAAAAATTCTATAACTGGGTTTGTTTCTTGGTGGTAAATTCATTGTGGACACTCAGAACACTGAAAATTAAGCTCCACTCATGAGCAAAAGCAATTTCATGAAAAAAAGCATGATCATGACAAACAACCAAAGAAAACACAAAATTAAACCTAACAAAATGTGCCTATCAAAATGTCTAGTATAATATGTAACCTGAACAAATGTTCATACCTTATCTTTTCCTATTTGATAGTGTTCTAAACTAAAAGTCATATGCTCTAGAAATATTTTGACATCTTCTTTAGAGCTTAACAAACCTCTAGGTAGTAGAATCTTATATAGTTGTATAAATTCCTGAAAAACAGAAATCCTTGATTATTTGAAAGTCAATTATTTTGACAATTTCATTTTAACCTTAACCCTTAGAACAGAAAACAAAATGTCAAATGAATAACCAGTAATGTTCAAAAGGATCATTGAAAAAGTTATAATACTTCTTCCAATTTAGATAAAAAAAAAAA